ATAAGAAGAATTCACCCCTTAATAACATGTCTGCTTAAAAAACCAAGGTATATTAAACAGACATGGGGGGCAGTAAGGGATCTACGGATCGCTAAAAAATAAACGACCTTAAGAGGCGAACACTTAGAAAATTTTACGAAATTTCCTAAAGCGACGACCCCAAGGGGTAAAAGTTAAAGTCGACTTCTCCAAGGAGAAGAGGCGAACACTTAGAAAATTTTACGAAATTTTCTAAAACAATGACCCTAAGGGGTAACGTCAACTTCTCCAAGGAGAAGAGGCGAACACTTAGAAAATCTTACGAAATTTCCTATAGCGACGACCCCAAGGGGTAAAAGTTAACGTCGACTTCTCCAAGGAGAAGAGGCAAACACTTAGAAAATTTTATGACATTTTCTAAAGCGACGACTCCAAGGGGTAAAAAGTTAACGTCGACTTCTCCAAGGAGAAGAGGCGAACACTTAGAAAATTTTATGAAATTTTCTAAACCGACAACCCCAAGGGGTAAAAATTAACGTCGATTCCTCCAAGGAGGAGAAGCAAGGCAAGCACTTGGAAAAATTTTACAAAATTTTCTAAGACGACGACACCAAGGGGTAAGAAAAGTAATAAACAGTTATGAAATCTACCATCCCCAAAAAAATATATAATATGAAAAGAAATTCTAAATATTATATAAAGAGTGTCAACATATAACATTACAAAAAAAAAATAGGGAGAGAAATCTTAAGCATCGTCGCCAACCGCCGAATCATCACCATCAGGTGGAGAAGAAGTGTCGTCATCAACATGAGGATGAGGAATATAAAAGGAAGCTCAAATCCCACTCAGGATGCTCTTGCTTGATTAGATCAACAATTTGTTGACCAGCAGATTGGAAGTCCTTGGTGCGAATATCAATAAGCTCCGGAGAAGCCTTAAACTCCTCAATAATCTCTGCACGCCTGGCGTCGAGCGTTGGTGAGGCCTCGGCTTCGGCTTCTCTCTTCCCCTCAGCTTTTCCCTCGGCAAAGCGCCTCTTCACAGCCTCCGTAGCTTCAGCTGATTTCTTCTCAGAAGCTTCTGCCTGCCTTGTAAGCTCTTCAACCGCGGCCTTCAGACTGGCCACCTCATTTTCAAGACTCGACAGCTTGGCTAGTTCTCCTTCCAAACTCTCCAGCTTGGCCACAGCTACGTCCCTATCCTCGATGGCAGACAAGCACTTTTTATTGGCAGCATCAAGAAGAGAGTTAATCTTGGCTTCCACGCTGTCCATCTCCTTGCCACATTCCTCAACCTTGACCAGATCAATGAGATTGAGAATGGCAAGGACTAGGCCCTGAGAAAATGGGGAGTCAAAATAAAGATACGAAAAATGAATCTTAAAATAAAAAAAAAAAAAAAGCGGGGGGGGGGGGGGGCACGATCGAAACTTACATGAATCTGGAAGGAAATCTGCTTGCGCTGACGATCCACCAGGGAAGACTGAGCGGCGCAGATCCAGTACGGCTCAAGGAATGATTCATACAAAGCCTGGAAGACGAGGGAAAGGTGAGGAGGAAGCTTCAGCATGGCCCCAATCTCGGCGTCAGAAATATTCGGGACTTGGAAGTTGGAATCCATGATTTTTGCACCCGGCATAATCACGCGTTCCCTCGGCGCCGGAGGCATACCAGCAAAATTGGGGATCGAAACCGCCGGCGTCCACTTCCCAATCTCTGGCGCCTTCTCTTTTTGCCTTCTTTTAAGCACAGGAGCTTCCACCCCCGACCCCGAAGAAACTTCTGCGGTCTTCTTTCTCTTCGGCGCTAGAGAAGAAGTACTGGCTTTCTCTTACCCTCTGGTTTGAGACGGCGGGACAGGCTGTGGCTGCTGGTTGCCTGGAAGCTGAATCCTCAAGGAGGCCATTTCTGAGCAAAGGACCAGTCAGCATGTAGTCAGCAAGCAGTTAGGCCAAATAAGATTAAAAGAAGTGTCGAGCCAAGTCCAGGAGCTTACCTTCGTCGCTTAAATGAAAATATTCTCTGACGGCGAGAGGATCAGAAGGGTCTGGAAGGTCGAGAATCAACCCTGCCCCTCTAAGGTTGAACTCAGTTAAAAGGGTGTCGATGTGGCGAGCCTTCTCCGAATACAAAAAGGTCGTCTCAACCCTCACCAATCTATTTCCAGAAAGTTTCGGCCGATCGTGGCTAACTAAAGGGTAAAAGAACTGTCAACTTTAAAAAAAAAAAAAAAAGAAAAGAAAGGGGACGAAGTATCAAATTCTCACCCATATTCCCAAATGAAGTTTGCACCTTCCTACGGCAGGGCAAATGGTCTTCAGGGTGAAAATTAAAAGGCCCCCGAATCATGAAAAACATGGGTTTCCACCCATATGACGACAAGGGGATACCTCATATCAGCATTCCAAGCCTAGGCTGGGATCACCCATGTCCACTCAAAAAATACCATCCATCACATTTGGCGACGTGGCATAGTCTGTACATAAACATAAATTCATCCAGCGGTAGATCCATATCGAACCGCTGGCTCCAAAGAACCCAGGCGCCGGCAAAACAGTACCAAAAATTCGGTGCCAATTGGGCAGTAGAGATGCCATAATGATGGCAATAATCTTTAACAAAGGGATGAACTGGCAAAGTCATCCCCGCCGTAACAGCCCGAGTATACACGGGGAGATACCCGGTAGGAGGCATGCTGGTCCTAAAATGCATGTCTGGGAAGAGGTACTCAAACCACCTCCCATCGATACAACCTTCCTTAACAGCCCGAATAATATCTTTATTCCGGACCCTCGACGCCACGACGTCAGCCGTAAAAAATGGCCTGTCTAGGTCGCCGCTCGTAGCAGCCAAGGGGGCATCCACCGTTGAAGCAGCAACACCACTTACGCTACCTCCCGTAAAGGGAATCTTATTTACTTCTTCCTCCAGCATACGGTCGACGCTGTCGAACTCATCGTCGAAGCCCTCGCTAGGTCCACCCATGTATGCTTCTATTTCACTCAGTATTGAGTTGCCATCTGATGAAGAAGACGACCACGAGATCTCCACCATAGAAGGAGAGTCTGGTCGCACAACGGACGAGTCCTCTCGACGACGGTTTGAGGCCATTGTTCTGGTGTTGAAAAAGACAAAGCAGCTAAGTCAAAATCCTAAGTCGAGAGGAAGAGGCAAGCGACGACTACTCAAATACCACTAGCACCTCAAACATAACGTCGACCATTCATATAAAAATGGTGACGGTGAATGTTCATAAACAAACGAGGTTCATTTCAACCCAGGAGTTAGAGACCACAATCAGCCAGAAATCAGAAAAACTATCCTATGAGGGTCAGGCAAAGTGAATGGTAAGGTCTCTATCTCCTACATTCCATATTAACATATCTATGGTTTTCAATAGGTAAGGCAGTGAAAGTTATTAAAGCAAGTACGAGCGAGCAATCATTAAAAACTTACCTGTGAGATGGAGTTTGGGCAAAAGCGAGTTCCGAAATGGCTTCGCAAAACACCGAGAAGAGCAAGGGATACGAGAAGGAATCCGCGAAAAAGAACTCAAGCAGAATGACAGAAGTTCGAGAATTTTGGTAAAGAATGGCTTCGGTTCAAGGGATATTTAAAGGAAGACAAGCCTTCTACCCCTAGCCGTCAGATTAAGTTCACAAAATCCAAGAGCAGGGGCGTCAACCCCAGATCTGACGGCAACAAACAAAGGCGGGAAGGTGAGAGGACATGATCAAAGGGCTCATATTCATTTTTTCAAAAAATGAAGCCTTACATCAGCCTGGCGAATTGACTGACGCGACGGTTACATCCCTCAAGGAAAGTCGAAGTGTCAAGGGTATCATTACGAAAGTAGGCTCGGCATTGGGTTCCCACACCCGAGGCACAGAAAGACACTCGAACCTAGCTCGAGGGCTGTCTAAAGGAAACCCTCGACCTGGGGAGGCAGCTGTTGTGTGGGAAAATGTGGGTGACATGTGGAACGGCGACAGCGTGACACGTGGCCCTACTTTCCTCAACAGGTGGCAACCCTCGACACCAAGAGTTTGAGTACCCTCGATGCTTGGAGTTCACTACCCCTCGACACTGCAAAGAAAGACCCAAATTAGGGCATCGACCCTTTGTGCCGTCGAACTTATGCAAATAACCCTCGGAAAGATCAGAAAGGGCATAAGGTCTGCGCGACACAGACGCCGAGGGGAATGCCCCTCAGAAAGAAGCCTGACATCATAAAGTTGCATCTAAAGGTGGGAGACATCTAGAATACGGGTATTAATTGCGAAACCCCTAAACCGCCCTGCACGGAGCAGTAAGAGATTATAGGAATCCACAGAGCCGTAATAGAAGATCAATCGGCTGAGTGAACAGCCCAAAAGGTGATTAGTGGGCTACAGTCTTAACCTATAAAGTAGGCCACTCGAGTACTTCCACCTACGAAGGAAGCTTGGGCTATAAAAGGGGCAACGCCCCATACACTAAAGGGAGAGCTCGAAAAAAGCATTAGAGAAGAGAGAGGATACGTGCATATAAATTGTAAATAATCCTAAAGAAATATACCATACATAAGTGGATATAACTCTTCATTAACAAAGTGAACCACTATAAATCTCACGTGTCCTCTCATTCAAGTGTTATGTTCATGCTCACAAAACACAACAAACACTTCATAACATAATTTCAAATATACAGCTAATTTCTAGCCGGTAACTCCGCAGGATACCAAAGGGTGATCCGACGTATTTCTGTTGATGAAATTTCACCGTCAACCCTCCCCAAGTAGCCACATCTATGTTCTAGGTTCCACAAAACAAAAGAAAATTTTTACTTAAACATACAAGGTGAAAGTTGGTATTTTAGTAAGAAATATTAAGAACAAGAAGCTCCATCAGTAATAGTATTATGCCAATGATCTCCCTTTTATTCGCTACAAAAGAAACTCGAGCGAGATGTAAGGAAGAAAAACAATAAAAGTCCTTTTTATTCGTCCAGTCATGCGTGTATAGAGTGTGGCCATGGAAACTACAACTCATACGCATCATGCTCCCAAATATAGAGATACAAGCCATCTTTCTTCACTTCCCAAAAGCATTCGTCTTCGGCGCACCTATGGGTGTCTCTTTTTGCCATGAACACATCGAAATGCCCTTTCACATTGTCCCAGCTCTTGTCACAATAGAAAAGAGTGGTCCTCCAGAAGTTGACGTTGAAGCTCCAGTGGAAATTACCTCCAAATGTCAGCTTATGAGTACCGAGATCAGTGTCTTTCGACGCGCAGTGAACAGTAATATACACTTGGTGCTCGGCGTTCACAGGTGAGATGCCCCTGGACAAAACCAATGCAAGGAGTAAAACAACATAGCTTGCCAAGATTTTCATGTTGTAGGCTTTCTACTACAATTTTTGAAGGTGGTTTGTCAAATATGAAGCTGTTTATTTGTCTTTATATGAAAAAAGATTTATGAAGCCAAAGTTATAAAGAGCAGAATATGCAGGAAGAACAAAAAAGTAAGGCAAGCTAATAAAATGTCATTATTGATTCTAGATTTTTTTTTGTTTTTTAATTACTTGATATCCCAGAATTGGTTTCAAATATCTTTGAGATTTGGGTTGCCTTGTATCTTCCAATTTCCCCTCAGTAACATCTTATTTTACAATGTTCTCTTCCCGGTCCATTGTCAACAACCAGAAAGGAAATATGCATACAGTCCACTTATGAACCAGATTAGGCATTTTTAGATATGACTTATGACTAAAGAGAAATTATATTCACACCCCAAAAAATTATGAACACACCCCCAAATTAATAAAATGACTGAAATGGGCAACGTAAACAATTAACAGAAGATACACACCCCTGATTTCTCACGCTCCTTTTAAATACACCCCACGCCCAAATAACTCTGGAATCTCCCTCAATGGCTCAATCTCCATCATTCATCTTTCTCAATTAATTCTCTCTCCCCAGTCCTCCATCTCTCCTACTCCCCAAAAGTTAGCACCAAAATTTGCTCTCTTTTTTTTTTTTTTTTTTTTTTCCTTCCTTTCCAGTTACTCTCTTTTACACTTTTATTGCTGTATGCAGTTCTCAACAAGTTTGTTTTATATGATATTACGTTCAGACGCAAGTTTCCTTGAAAAAATAAAACCAAACCGCAGCCTGACACGATAAGGCAAGAAGCTTACCAACACAAACTTGGAAACCCAAAACCCACCCCAAGAAGAAAGGCAAGCACAAGACGAGAAGACCCGCACAAGTCTAGCAAAAGATTTTTTTTTTTTTTTTTCCCGGTAGAAGAAGTTAAAAAAAACAACAAAAAACAAAAACGAATTTCAATACAGAAAGCAAAGATGTTTTTTTTTTGGATTTAAAGCAGTTTACACGCAAGGCTAAAAGAGTAATAAAAAACTCAAATTAAAATGGGGTGTAATATAACATGGCATGACTAAATTGCACGAAGAGCCCAGTTTCCAATATCAAAATTGGCTCAACGAAGGAAACACATAAATGCAGAGGGATGCAAAAGAAAAGAAAATTTCATTCCGCTTTTACATAGAGGCTACACAGAGAAATCTAGAGGCTTACCGGCAGTGTGTCAAACCACGGCTTAGTTATTACTACCGGCAAGGCCAACTAATCGAGTAATCTCATCTTCGAGACGAGAACAGTGAGTCTTGAACTTATGCTGAAGTTCAGTCGACTCTGGTTGATTTTGCTGCCACTGAGAAAGACCATTGACAATAACTTTCAAACCACTCTGCAGCAATTCCATTCCCTCGCTAATTCCATCGGGAAGTTTCCTTTTCTTGCTGTCTTGCTTTTCCTCATCCACCTCAATGGACTGCTTTTCAACATCAATCTCCATACTTTCGCATTCGATAGTCTCCACCTTAATAGTTGACATCTTTTGGAATATTTCCTTTAAAACCCGACCCTCCTTAGCAACCATCCCAAGCTCCTCAGAGTTAGATGCAGTTATATCAAGAGCTATTTCCTCGTCAAGAAATGTCTTGAAAACAGACATGAATCTCTCCTCATTTGCCTCGCTTCCAGATAAAATATCATATGAAAGAGCTGCATTCTGAGGCACGAATCTCCAAAGCTCATCACAAGTAGTTCGGGCTGAGAAATACCCGAAAGCTGTAAGAGCCAAATGAATGAGAGCCCAGTGCCTTTCTCGCAACATCATGTGGTATAACTCGCATGCGGCAGAGAACTTTGAATTCTTATCAGTTTCTGCCAATTGCACGTGTGCAATACCCGCCATGAATAGAGCAAGATTCGGTTTGCATTTGTACAACTCATTGTCAGAGGCTGCAGGCCCTGAGATAAATAGATTTTCAAGCTCAAAAATGACCTCTTCTATTTCGTCTGATGCATATAAATGCTTCATATTTGAGATGATGCCTAACGTTTCACTCAAAAGCTTGAGATACTGGTCCTTCATTAGTTTGTCCATAGAATCTCTGCAACTATGAATTATAGAAACTAGAAACCTCAGAGTCTTCACATCAATCTCAGATGAGTTAATATGGCTACAAGACATGGGGCAAAATATCATCAAACATTGTAATAAATACATATAAATACCAAACAAATATGGCACAAAATGATCAAGGATGTACGGCAATATATGACGACAACTGAGGACGAAAAACAAGTCAATAAAGAATCAATGACTCATTTTTGCTTAATATCCCTAATAGGTCTTAGTGATCAATTGTATATAACACAAACAGCTCAATATCTCACAGAAAAAAAAGCAATTTTACTACTTACAGTGATTGCAAGGAAGCAGACAGAGCAAATACTGGAACACCAAAAATGCCATCATTGCTAGCGTTTATCAATTTTTCATCAAAGCTTTCAATGAAGACAAAGAAGTCAGAAAGTATTCTTTGGGTTGCTATACTTTTCATCTTGTCTGATAATAAATTCAGCGGAAAGCCCTCTATAAACAATGCTAAACACACAACTGATGACATCTGAGATCTATCGTCATCAATAATGAACTTGAAAACCTGGTCTACCATAGATGGTGTTCCGAAACTGAGTAGCATGCTGATTGATCTTGCCAGTTTTCTCATCCCAGAACCAGGTACAAGAACCGATTCAGAAGATGCCAGAAACTTCAGCAATGAGCAAAATTTATCGACGATGCCACTTACAATTCTTGGCTCAGCATAACGTACGAGAAAGCACCAAAGCTCCATTACAATCTCCCAGCAAAGGAAGTGGGGATGAAAGAGGTTCTCAAGAAGGAAAGATTCCACTTCCGTCCACGCATCACTTGAAGAGACAACAACCATCAAGGTCTTTAATGCATTCAAAAGAGAAGCATATATAGGCTGCCAAACTAATTCCACGTTTTTCCCTGAACCACATAATACAGGAATTTGCAAAACAAGAACCGAAGAATACAATTCTTCATCAACTAAAGAGTCCAAAAACCATCCAAGCTTTCTGGTAATCACAAGTTTTACATCTTCAAGATCAACAGAATATCTCGAGAAACTAAGAAACAATTCAACCTGACCAAGCAACACAGATCTTGCTCCAGAAAATAGTTCACAACTTTCAGAAAAGATTCCATCCATTATAGGTATCTTATTGAGATCATTCAGATTTCCAGGGATAGGGTTTGCAAAGCTTTTATTTATAAACAGACTGTCTAGAACCTCAAATTTTAAACTCTTCTTCACCTGATCCGAGTTCAGTAAGGAATTGAGTAAATCAAGGGAAGTTTTCTCCAAGAGTTCTGTGAAAACTTCACACGCAGTTTTCAGGTGTTTTTCATTGCTCATTGAGACTTTAAAGGTTGAAATCATAAGAACACAGAGTGTTATCTTCTTATGCATCGCAAATGCTTGGCATGGATATAAAGAGGAAACTTTAACTGCATTAATCAAGTAAAACTTTACTGGAAGAAATTTTCTTCTAGCTTCAGTTGTAGAAACACTTTCCTTCAGTGAAGACCAAGCCTCTGCAGTGCATTTAAGAGAATCATTAACCAATGAGACTAGAGTTGTCAGGATATCTGCTGCGTTCATTTTTACTCCGAAGGCCCCATCGCCAATCTGAAGCAGAGTTACCACACCTTTCCATGACACATTAAGGATACTTACTAGACTTCCTCCAGTTTTAGCAGCAAAAATGCCCATCTTATGCAGCACTTCAATTGCATACTTTGTTATATTAATAACATGATTCATAGCACTGAAGCCTTCAAAATCCATACTATTTTTCTCCTCAAGATTTGCATCAGAGATGTTCCAATTTATGGCTTGGGCATACACTCCACACAATCTTATTACAGCATCGATGACCACATGTGCGACCTTTAACACTTCTGATGCATGTGAATGAATTCTCTGCATTTATACGAGGGAATACTCTTGTGAAAGACGCCTAATACACTCTTGACATATTTACTTAATGGAGAAAGCAATAAGCTTTTTTTTACCAATCCCGTGCTCAAAGGAACTCATTTAAATATATATATATATATATATATAAATCTCGGACCAAATGAACAAAAGTATAAAATTGACCACCATCATCTATTGTTAGATTCCAGGTAAATCCACTTAAATTCATTTTTTTTCCCTATCAATCAACAAACACGTTAACGTTGCAATTAATATTAAAATCAACTGAGAATTTTTGCGACTCACATAAAGTTCAAATGTCGAGTATTGATGGCAGAAACATGAACTAGAAATAGTTAACTCATGTATTCAATTACTACTCAGAATTAGATGTAATGTCAAACCATGAAATTCAATCAGGTAAACAGAAAAACAAGACAAGTTGAGAAAAGTATGGATCTGTAGCTTCACTCTTCAGAAAAGGTCAAACAAAACAAATCATTTTTAGTAGCTCAAACTCGTTACTCAAAGGACTAAAGCAATCACCTAAAATTCATGTTCCATATTTTGGCATTCGGTGCAGAAACATAAGGCAACATTGCCATACCTTACTCGCCGATATCGCATCATTGGTTATGTTTAATTGCTCCATAATGAACTTCTCGGTAATGTCCATTGATACCTTGTCAACTGAAATGGGATATCTTGCCAGAGCTGAATAACTCGCTGCAGAAAAACTCAGTAGATCCAGTAGCACCTGAAAGGTAGAACGTCGGAAAGAAAAGTGTGCAATTAGAAACCTAGTTTATGATGTGTAGAGAGATGATATAGGAAGTATCTCAATAAAGTTTCAAGAAAAAATTTTACAAGTACAATCTTTTTATTATATAGAAAACGGAAGACAATGGAGCATATAAAAGATGAACAATATATATATATATTGAAAATCTGTTTAGTTCCCTCAAATGTTGAGTTCATGCAATGTCCGACATTATCTACCTCAAAAAACAGGTCGCAATGCTCCTCTTCTTGAGACTCCTCAGATGACATAAGAGTCATCTTCAGGTGCTTTCCACACCATATGCTTGCCTGACAAATGACATTTCAGATTTTACAGTATGGTCCAACTGAGAATAAGAAATCTTAAAGTGTTCTTTATGACAAGTAGAGACACTTCTTTACCTTTGTCCCAAGAGCAAGAAATCGGGACTGACAGCTGGATGTGTTGGACTCCAGATGCTTTGAAGCCACATGTAATATGGCTTTGTTTAACATGCATTGAGTTACATCAAAACAAGTGTAGTCTTCCCAAAATGCCTAACTTGTTGTTAAGGTAACAAAAAAACATCCTTAGAAAGGAACTTAGCACATGGATAGAAACTTAGACACATAACATCCATTTTCCAGCAATTTGCGTGACAAAAAACTAGAATTGGAAATTTATAACAAAATCTTCCAAGCATAACATCTGATGAAAAACGAAAAAGAAATCAAAATATCACTGGACTGGGTAGTAATTTAGTGTGAAATCATGGTTAATCTAAAACAAGGAGCTAGTTAATAAAGATTTCACCGTAAGCTAATTACCAATAACAAGAGTGAAAATATCCATACAAAAAGCAACTAACAAATACGAATTAATAAGAAGCGATACTTGGAGGAACTAAACTTGAATACGAACTCTTAAAATTGCGCGCTTCATCTTCAAGAGCAAGAAATGAGTAGACTATTTTAATGCTCATGCCTGTAAACGAATCAAATGGCAAACACTGAAAAAGTAAAATTGTACAAAAGAGGATACTGTGAGGCATTCAACGAGAGAAGCCAAGTCAGATTCCTCTGATATCTCTAATTCTCCAAGCTTATTTAGCAGTTGAATACGGCTCTCCACAACCTGTGACACAAAATATGCTCCAAATTTAATATCTCTAATGTTTTAACAAAGTTCCTCAAATTTATCTGAAATTTTTTATTAAAAAAAAAGTGAACTCCTTTCAGCATAGGCTTTCAATTTAACGTAAATCAAAAAATAAAATAAAAATAAAAATAAAAAATAGGAAACAATTTATGAAAATTGCTAGTGGAAAAGCTCGGCGAGCTCAGAACTTGAAACAAGATATATGATTTTTGTAATTCCAACTTAATTAGGTGATATATCACGAAATATACTCGTAAATTTATGCTACGACAGTTCAATATCATGATTTTTCCAAGCCATACGATTTCCCAAACCAGAAGACTGTACCTGTGATTTTTTTTTTGTCGAAAATTGAAGAACAGATTCAACGAACAAAGATCGTAGATACAGTTCATGAGTGGAAATCAGTGATTTCAAAACGAAAAAGTAGATCTAGGGAAGTGTAATTTGTGTCGCTGGAAAATGAAATTGCAAATCGAAATAGAAATTTCGATATAACTTACATCTGAGGATCTAATGGCGCCTAACATGCTCTGCAATTCTTCGCTCGACCTTTTGCCCTCCATTCTCTCTCTCTCTCTCTCTCTCTCTCTATAAATTTGCCTTTCCCGCCATTTTGAAATAGTAGAGCAAATTTATACGCAATTTGGATTTGGACGGACGTTGGACTTGGAGAAGCAATATTTATAGTTTTTACCACGATACTAATTCTAATTTTGTGTTTTCGCCCCAATGTCCTACCTCAAAGTTTTCGTGCTCCAATATTTGATCTTTCCGCCATTTATTTATTTTTATCGTTCAACGTATTTAATGGGGCTATGCGAATCTTGATTTTAAAAGAACAAATTGTTCTGAAAAATTATCTTTTTTTTTTTTTCCCTTTTCAACCAATTATTATTTTAAATTTAATTTCAAATTTAAAAGAGTTAGAAAAATATGATTTAATAAACTGCGCATTTCTACAAGCCATCCATGCATGCACTTTTGATGTTTCCATTCTTCAGTTTTTCTCCAGTCTAGATCGATCCCAATAGCCTATATTCACGGAGGAGTATTAATGTAACATGAAACTTGTATCAGTTGTGAACCGGTTATCTATTGGCCAGTAGTAACACGTAATTAGTTGTTTCTTTTTATCTTTTTTCTCTCTCTTCTGCCTCCACAAGAAACTCAATGTCATAAACTCCAATTAAACGATTCTTCTTTCTATGAGTTTAAAGCGAAAAATAAACAATCAAGATCCATATAGCCTATATATGTAATTATGCTTACGAACATTAAGTGACCATTCATTTCATGAGTTTACAACCCATGCCTCCTATATGAACCCAATATCCGGTTTATAACTCAATTTTGAACGTGAAATGTGGTTGAGAATCTGTGTGAACTCAAAATTATGAGTTTCGGAGAACTTAACCCCCTCCCCTTTAAGGTCTCATGGGTTTGAACCTATTTCTTGTTTAAAACCATGCCTCTATACCTGGTTTACTTATAATTCTCACACTAACCAAACACTTATTCACACTTTTATTTTGTGATGTGATAGTTTTATTCATTGTTTAAACATTATACTTCCAAACATCAGTTTGAATCAGATTAAACCTGAATAGGTTCGAAATTTTGGTTCAAACTTAAAAAGTTCAAAACTACACAATTCAAGCCTGTGAAGCGAACCAGACCAAGTTTTTGTTATATTTATATCCTGAGACTAAACCTTTTTTCAACACTATTCAAACACAAATTTTCATTTTATTATGAATTTGAAATACAAGTTATCTAGATATCAAAATTACTATTCGGGTCGCAGTTCAAAATTTTGTTCAAATAAAATTGTCTGAATTGCAAGAATCTGAACAAGTGAACCAAACATAGCCAAAATTTAGATTTGAAACACCCCTGACTTCATAAAATTACCCGAAACCATTTTTCGCAGTATAATTATTCACCCATTTCAGGTTTTTCATTTTTCACGGACATTCTCTCCCTAACTTATGCTTTTCAACAGAAGTGTATTTAGATTTGTTTTACTGTTCAGATTTGCACTTTTGATTGGATATTCAAACGCAGTTCGGCTTGCAATTTAAAGCACACTGTTCAGATTTCTATGTGTTTTTTTTTTTTTCCCCGGATATTTTTGTTTGCCATTGTATTGTCTCATTGTTCTTGTGGCTAGATTCTGAACTTTTCATCGTTGTTTCCCTTTTTTTTATTTTGTATTTAACAATTTTGAATGGAGCTTTGATTGAATTGTATAGTAGTTCCCGATCTGATCAAGATGTATTAAATTTCTCTAATATATCTGAGTTCTCTCTCCATTTAGAAAGAAATATATAACACGAGTTACCTTTTCATTATACATTAAGCTTGAAACAGCTTTTATTGTTTACATGAGCAACAGAAACTCCGTAGAAGAGAATAAAGATAACAACGTAAGACATGCTACACAAGGTGAAGCCATAAAATGATACACATTCTGGCTTAGCTTGTAGAATCTTAGGACGAACAACATGAGTAGACGTACAAATTAAGTTGAACGAGACACGCAACACTTGTATATAAATATTATTGGTGATGATCTCCATCATCTTAGTTATGAACAGACAAACTCTTTCTATTTGCCAAAGGAGTGCCTCCACCTCCACCACCGGAGCCGAAGCCAAAGCCGCCGCCACCTCCACCGCCCCTGCCGCCACCAAAGCCACTGCCAAAGCCAAACCCGCTACCAGCTCCACCTCTTCCACTACCACTACCGCCACCGCCTCCGCCACCGCTGCCTCCACCACCGGTACTGCTTCCACCCCCAGAGCCGCCGCCAGAACCGTAACCAGACCCAAAGCCGCTAGCTGCTGGCGGGGGCGAGGTAGCTGGTGGAAAAGGGGGTGGCATTTGAGCGGTTACAGACTGAAAGCAGAAGGCAAAGCTCATGACGAGTATGAAGGCTGAATAAAGAAGTAGTTCATGAGCCATTTTTAACAAGGACGCATGCAATTAAGTTTAATTAACTTGCGTCAAGGGCACTTCTATGGCTTGCCCCGCATATGTATATATAGTGCGTCAAGGATGGAACTAGGTGGCATAAGAGGCTAGCACAGAATATTTTAGTATGTATCTGTGCCTATTCACACATATAAATAATAATGTAAATATATATATATGTATATGTTTGCATCTCTGAGTAGTCTCTTTACATATTAGTGATGCATAATATTATTTTTTATATGAATGATATATGTGCGTCATTCATATTTTAGTGTATATCTAATACTACAAAAGAAGCTTTATTTCTTTCGCATGAATTCAATATTAACTTTCCAGGAAAATAAAAACATTATAGTACCTTTCACTAACATTACTACGGGCAGGCCTAAATACCGGCCCGTCTAACATAATTTTTCAAGCTCGAGTTCGGGCAGTCCGAAAATGGACAACTCACCGGAGCCTGCCACTGTGTTATCACCGTCAACTGCTCTGTCGGAATTTTTTAAAATTTTGTTGGTCAGGCCCGATTTACCTAAACTGCCCGAAGTCTGAAACCCGACCAACGGATAAACCCAAAGCCTGATCATATATATATATATATATATGTATATATATATATATATGTATATATTATTTATACATCTATAACTTTACTACTATAATTAATTCCTTCAAAAAAAAATTACTGGTGATGTATTATTAACTGTGGCGGAGCCAGGATTTTGTTTCAAAGGGGTGTAAATTAAAAATGTTAAAAAAGTTAAAAACACTAGTAACATTAACTCTTAATACTATTAACTAGTTGAAAACAAATGTATGTACATAGTGATCAGTTTATTGAATTATATATATATATATATATATATATATATATGCGTGAAATAAAATTTTAAAGAGAAAAGTGCAAGTTTTAAAATAGGTGTTTATTACCTTAATAAAGGCAAATTAGAGTAAAGTTCTTTATGAGTAAATAGTAATTGAGAGGATTACTTTAAAAAAAATACTTAATTAGGGATACATTTGAGAAGTATAATTTTATTGGGTTATTTATTTATTTATTTATTTATTTATTTGGTGAGGCTCGTTTTTGATACAATAAAGATTATATTAAAAAAATATTTTAAAAGTGTCAAATTTGAAAAAATAAAAGTTTTAATTAGAGTAAAGTAAAAAATTTCAATTAGGCTCATTTGAAAATATAAGATTTAATAGAAAAAAGTTTGGATTTTGGTTAAGATAATTTAAAATTGTTATTAATGAAGAGGGCATATATAAAAAATTTGAAAGCTATGGGGTAAAATTTTAAAACCAAAAATCCAGGGGCATATGCCCCCCTCGGCCTCACCTCCCTCCGACCCTGATTATTAATCATATTTTTTCTATTGAAAGGGATCATCTAGATCAAATATTACATTCCTAGTGATTTAAAAAGATGTACTAATTTTTATTTGAGTGCCAGTGTGTAAATATAACATTAACTAAGGGGAAAATGGGTGAGTAATATTATCTAAAAATGGGTTTAGCAGACCCACGGCCTGCTTTTTCTTTTTCTTTGAGATTTTCCCTCACCAATGCAAATTAATTTACAAATGTTATGTATGTTATAATTAATTTGTTTATAGAATATGTAAAATAAATAAATTAATTAAAGAGCATATATAGATTGCTGTACGCTAGTAACTAATTTTAAGATTTGCATAATGATACATCTCACATATGTGGTGTTAAAATGATATCTAAGCACGACGAAAAAAAAAAAAAGTAATAATAAATAAATTGCTTTGTTTCCCTTTTCTTTTGTTTGATCAAAAGAAATTGCTTTAAGATGCGCCTAATATTTGACTTCCATACGTTACAGTTTTCCAGGTAGCGCCGTTGATCAACAAGATTCCACAGAGAATAAACGTCTAATAATCAATTATTAGGTATGTCCCTAAAATCTGATCGTGAAACGTTTAACACGATCGAGTAATATGTCTTTTCCTGCAAAAAAGAACATTCAAATGGGCATCACACGATCGCATCTTTGACCATGCATAAATGTCTTCAAAAAAATTTCTTTAAGAAAAGGAACTTTTGAGGACGTGGATGAACAAACCGTGACAAATATTTTTTTGAAAGGAACGGATCCTACGTCATTCTCTCCTTACACGCATCCTTCTTACTTGAGTACGTGGAGCCTTAAATCAGCTATTTGATGTTTAATATTTTGAGAGTCTGTTTAGTTCGTTGATTCGAGTTTTTAATTTGAGTTAATATATAACTTTATGTGAGAGCTTTTTATTGTAACAAAAAAGTTAGATGTGACTATTTCTGAGAGCTTTTTATTGTAATAAAACTCGAATTTTAAATTTAAATCGGTAAAATAAACAGAGCCTAAATATATAGATCAAGTTCATAATGTAGTATATATCTTTCAATAACAGGAGTTTAATAGGCTTTATAAGTTGATATAATTAATAATAATAATAAGGATAAAATTATTTTGATACTTTTGTTATAACGAAACATCACGTCCGTATTTTGTGTTTTAAATAATATTAAATTGTACTTTTTACTTTTAAAAAAATATTCTTTTAGTATAAAATTGATTTTCTAAGACATATAATATCTAAACTACCTTTTTCATTAATTAAATAGAAACTAATAACTTCAAAAATATTTTCTAAAAATGTTTTAGCTTATTTTGATTTTTTTTAATCTTTAAATGTTTTAAAGTGCTTTCATAACTTTTTTTAAATATATATATATAT